CACCTTTACCATACTGTTAACATAACAATGCACTTATTAATTATGTGTACACTTATGGTCTGTCTCTCTCCACTCCCCTCATCCAAGAATGTAAGCTCCATAGTTGTCATAGGCAGAATTCTAAGACGGACCTGGTGCACACACCTTGTAAACTCTCTCCCCTTGAGTGAGAGCAGAACCTATAAATATCATGGGTAGCACGCCTCCTGTGATTATGTTATGCTTCATAGTAAAGCGATTTAGCAGATATAATTAAAATTACTAACGTTCAGACTTTCCGTTAATAAAAGAAAAAGATAATCCACATGGGCCCGGACTGATCACATGAGCCATTTAAATCTGGGTCTATAGGTCAGAGACAGAGGAAGTGAGAGATTCCCAACTCTATTAAGGAGGCCATATGGCAAGGAACAGTGGTTTACCTCTAGAAAGAGAGAACAGCCCCCTGTTAACAGCCAGCAAGGAAGTGGGAATCTAAATCCTACAACTGCACATAAATGAATTCTGTCAACAACCTAAATAAGCTTGGGAGAGGACGAAGAGCCACAGAAGAGATAGCAGCCCCAGCCAACACCTGCATTTCAACTACCTTAGACCCTGAACAGAGAGAATCCAGCTAAGCCAAGCCCAGACTTCTGTCCTACAGAAATTAACAGATAATAAATGGCTGTTGTTTTAAGCCACCAAGTTTGTGGTCATTTGTTACACAGCAATGCAAAACAAGTGAAACAGTGCAAGGATTTTTGCCTGTTTTGCTCACTGATATATCTCCAAGACCTAGAGCATGCCTAGCACATAATAGACACTAAATGAATATTTATTGATGGAATTTGAGTGGAATTAATTTAGCCTTAGGAAAATATCACTACATTCTCCTTATTTTTTTTATGTTGCTTAAACTGATAAAAACTTCATATTTTCCATCGACAAACATTGGAGCCATGGTTTTTATGTTCAGTGATAAGCTGTTTAAGAGTAAGCAAAGCCTTTATGTACACTCTTTAACAGTCAGGTGCTGCCAGGACCTCAGAGGTTTTCAGGTAAGCTTGGTGTTTCAAGTCTCAGTAATTTGCCAAGCAAACTCAAAGGCATTGCAATAGCTCTATGTTTTACTAAACACAGAAGTGGTCTACTTAAAAAATAAAAAAAAAGCAGTCATAAGAAAATTCAAAATTCAAACGCAGCAGATTATTTATACTGTAAAAATGACCTCAGTTTTGTAACAGTATCCAGTGTAAATTGTCCTCAAAAGTCCATCTTGCATGGTATAGAGACATAAGACATACCCCAGTCTATCAAAGTGGTCCAGTCCATTCACTGATTCAG